TTACATTAAAGCCTTAGCAGTAAACAATACCAAGGTGAGCTGAACAGGAATAACTAAGCCAAACTTGAAAGGATATTTAGCAAAAGAGGCTGTTTCCCAAGCACTTGGAGTCTCAGCTAAGGAACAGTTAAGTCCATTACCAGGACACTGAACTCAGCCCTTTTGTTTACAGGCAGTCGGATCACAAAGCCTGGATGTTACTAACTTCCCCAGTCCTGCAGCACTGCCCCACCACCCTGTGACATGTTGGACAAACGTCCACATCTACCCCTGGTCAGGGGTATATGACACTAAAGCTAAATGACAGCAATGTAACCTGTAAGTGGCAAAGATGTGGCTCATTTGAGAAGAGAATAGAACCTTTAATCAGAGGTGCACACTGAGGAGGGATGGAGGTGCCTTCTGCAGCCAACAAACCCAGCAAGGGCTTCCTTCCCTCCCTGCAGGTACTAGGGGCAGTTGTAGGCAGTCACTCCTCTGCTCAGCAGAAACCCTGATGCACTGAATGGGACAGGTGATGAACCTCCCCATTCTTTGTCTGAGAATTCACCTCTGTACGTAATTAGAAGCACAGTCATTAGAGCTACAGCTCCAAATTGCAGGCAGGAACCAGACACATTAAGTACTCCTACAGGGCACTTTACAGACCACATAAGAAGGCCTGTCCTTAAACCAAATCCCAGATCTGTCTGAAGAAGTTTGCCTGCTTCTCTCCAAAGGACCAAATTAAACCTAATCCACCTACCAATACAAGTGCAGATAATAAAACTAAAAGTAGCTCTTACCTAGCAGACAGACAGTGTCTGCCTGAGAAACATTTCTCTGAGTGGCTTTATGTATAATGTCTGACCAATCCCACTGAAAAGATCAGACTTTGGCAAACTACAAACTGCAGAGTTAGAGGCCCAATCACATACATCAAAAGTATGAATGCTGCAGATAAGCTAGAACTGAACAAAAGAGAAGGTAAAAGTGGTCCAGACCAGGAAAATAATGGCCTGTTTGAAGAACATGGAACTGACAGTACTGATAAACATAACACTGAGAACCAGGGGCTCTGGTGCTCCAGCAAATCCAGCAGTGCCAGCAGACAGGGAAACCACGAGGGCTGAATCAGCAGCTGGGTATCTGCAGCTCCACCTCTGTGCATCCATTTCACATTACTTGTCCTGCTTCAGTCTGTGACACAAGGAGCTCAAACAGGCAAACTCCCCTTACATGTTCTTCTCCTGCACTAAGGAGAAAGCAGCAACTGAGAATCCTGTACCAAAGTATTTTGATTTGTTGCCCAGGCTCCTGGTGGAACCATCAGTTGCTCCTCTGACCTTGCTGCTCCAATTCTACCACACTACAATCACCAACACAGTGGAGACCTGCTCAGACAGTTTCTCCTGCCAAGCTAGGAAGCTATGCTATGAGCAGCTGATACTCCCAGGACTAACAGCTCCACCACAAATTTATTCTCTAATACTCAAGCTTCCATGTCCATGTTTGCAGTACAGACCCACAGAGGGTAAGTGTCACAAGTTCCTTCCCTGTGCCTACAGGGACTTAGCCACCAGCTTCACAAAATGACCTTTGTTACAAAGGGATTTACACTGGTGCCCCTGGAAGCAACAGATGGTCAGGATGAGCTGCTGCCATCAGCATTTTTCCTTTAGTCTGTGAAATTATTCACATAGTCCCCTCAACAGTGGAGGTGTTTTCTCAGCTTAAGAATGAGAGCAAACCAGCTAAAAGATGGGATAAAACAGCAAGTGAAGTAGTAGTGTCTTTTAAAAGCACTAAAATGGGCTGGATTTTGTGGTTATATAAAAGCAAGAAACACTATCCCAATCTGATGTATGAATTAAGTGCTGTACCTTATCGACAGGAAATATGAACACATTTCCTTCAATTATTTCCTCTTGCAAATCATTCCCTGTAGGTCTCAAAGGAAACAACAGATGCACCCAAAACAAGTTTTCACTTCTTTCCTGGTCTGTTCAAAGAAAATGCAAAACTCTGTTTTGCTTCTGTTTCTGAACACCTCACTATTCAGACCAAGTTTCTTGTTCAGAGACTTTCAAGTACTGTACTGGCTGCAATCACTCTCTTCACCTACCCCATGGGGAAATGAGAAGAGAAAGGGCAGCTCCAGTCCCCTGGTCTCCTGAGCCTCCCCCAACATAAACTCAGCAAACATTAACCTGCTGCAGGTCTCTGTCCTTCGACTGGCACCTTACACTGTGGGTACAGAATGGGGAAATCTTGTTAGAGATGTGCATTTAACTGTGAAATCTTTGACACTTCTGAAAAGTTTCCCAACTGATTCATGTATTGCCAATGTGTTTCTTGTCTGTGTACAAGATTTATGATCTTGGTCCAGTGATGGGACTGTTTTCCCTCCAGCAGTCTGAGCAGACTGAAAGGTTGACACTCTTGGCTTGAATTGTTGGCTCATGTGTTACCTTATGTTGTTTTTAATTGCAATGTGTTCCTGCCTAGAATGACACATTTGTGTCAACACAAAACAGGCTCCGTGCAAGAGTCACGAGGGAATTTGAAACACTCTGCAGTGCAGAAACCTTGGAACCCATGAGCTTGGTTTCAAACCGTTTCAGGCAGATGCTTTCTGAGAAAGCTGCATCTGATGTTCTAATCCTCTGAAGTCTGAGAGTACTCAGATCAAGCCTTACATTAAGCCCCTGCCCTAACAAGCAGGGCCAAGATGAACAAAGTTCCATTTGCCAACACACCCCTAGAGAGCACAATAGATGCCTCTCTGCTGCAAAGTCCTCCTGCCGTTTTTTCCAAGGCTGGTGGGAGTAGTGTCAATTTTCACCTTAAATGGAAACTGAAAACAAATCGCTAAGGTTTATAGTAATTTAAAATACAAACAGCTCAGCGAGGCAGCCATTCAACACAATTTCCCCTCGAATAACAAGACCATGGGGACAGACAAGACTGATTGCAATTAAAGGTACAGGGTGACAAAAATCCCTGGATTTACAGAGTGCATGGAAAATGGCTTGGGGCCTTCACTACGGGTGGAATTCTGGAAACATACGGGAAAAAAACCCATCCTAATCATTGTTTTAAAGAGTTTTTTGGTTATCCCTTTAAGCCAATTCTACAAAACACGGGTTTGCTTCCCCAGAATTCTATTAGTTCCATCTTTATTGAATGCTGTGGGATATCTCCCACAAGCATAGTAAAAACTAAAATATATTAAGCCTGAAGTCAAGTGATGTTCTTCTCTCAGCCATGGGAGAAATTTTTCAGTCCAGTAAGTATAAGTTCGGAGTGAAATAAAAGACTGAGAAAGCAATCAGGGCCGTGAATCAGGCTCGCAGGGGATGCTGAGCAGCAAGCTGAGCAGCTCTGAGCGCTGCTGGGGGAGCTGACACTGCACGGGCAGCACAGGGCACACAACTTTCTGCTGCCCTCTGCAGGGACAGTCAGGCTCACCTGCACAGCCCCGAGCAGCAACACAAAGCACCTGCGGCCTCTCACCATTTCTTACCATTTACTGGTGCATCTTTACTTCCAGAGTCATCTGCACTCAATTCATGGGTGAAGTTTGCATCTGTAAACTCAAATCGAGGAACTTCAGCCAGTGAGTCAGTTCTTGGCATAACTAAGTTTTGATGGAAATATTAATCCCTAGATCACCCTATCATATAGGAATAAAAGAACAGACCCCAATTCGTGCAGCCTCAACACCTTGCAGTCTTTACTTTGACTGCTAGGGACTGACATACCCAGGAATTGCGAGGTACCCAAAGAGAAGCTCTTGTCTTCCAAACTCTTGTCCTCCTGTGCTCTCCAGGAAAAAAACTAAGGAAATATCACTGTGTCATTCACTTCCTCCTTTCAAACAAATGTGAGTTATTTTGCTCTCATACACTGAATGATTTTAAAAAAGTTTCCCCTGGTAAATGTTAATTCCTCACCTGAGGATAACCAAACATCATGCTGTGGTCCAGTTCAGAGTCAAAACACTGAGACATGAAAAAGTTTTTGAGAGAAAAGTGAATAGTGAAACATAAGCATTAGTTGAAGGTTATTGTTGCTCGGGTTTCCAACCACTCAATCCACTTGTACACTGCATTTGAAAACATTTCCTTTAACTCCAGACCAAAGGTGAGAAGGAACTGGTTCCAGTTCCAGCTATTCTCCTAGGGACTCTGTAGAGGTATTTTGTGCTCTCATCTCCTCATTTGCCAAAACACAAACAACAAAACAGTTTCAGGAACCTTCATCCAGTACTGTCTGCAGGACACAGAGATTAAACACTGCAATATATATATATATATATAGCAAAACATTTTCTTTCTGATGACATGTCTGATGAGGCATGAGAATGTAATAAAGACAACTGTGGGTCTGCAGGGTGACTGCCCATATACAGAGTCTGATGTGGAGATCTGTTTGCTGGGAGGCAGCCTCAGGCACCCAGAACTCCTGCTGGATGGAGCAAGCCCCACTGTCTGCCAACATGTGTATCATGTATCTGTAACTCCTTTACACTGAAATCCATAAAAATAAACACAGAACAACTCACTCTGCATTTGTCACGGCTACTTTTGTTGAACAACAGTATCAGAATCACATGGAAATACAACAGAGAAGCTTGAAGGACAGAGAGTTTTTAAAGCTATCCAAACCAATCTGACAGCATCAAATGAAAAGGAAACTCCAAGGTACACAGACACACAGGGATCAGCATGTCAACAGTGAAGTTTAGAAATTAAATACTTCTTTCTCAAGCAACAAATTAGTAACTACATAGATCCATATAACACAAACAAACTCCTTACAACTAGCACCTGCACTCCTGTCTGCAGAGGCAAGTGTGGTCAGTGTATGAACAGCTCAGAAGTCTAAGCAAAACTTGGGAGATGGGGTCACATTTTTGGCCTCAGGCAGAACTCTGCAAGCACCAAAGAACTTGACATGACTCAGTCACTGAAGAACAGAAACCAGCTCAGAAGCCAAACAGTTGTGTTTGCACATCCTCATTCATCAGCATCATCAAACTGGCCCATCTCAACCCTTCTAGCTCTCCGTGGAAAAGCAAAGCACGGTGCGTGGTGGCACCCAGGGTCATAAAACCAATCCTCCTGACATACATAAGGGGCCAGAAGATTATCTCCCTCAAAGCTTCCACAGTTGAAATCATCAGCATCTAAAAAGACCAAAGAAAAGATTTAAATCACAGGAGAATACTCAGGGAAGTAGTGGAATCGTGTAGGAGTTTATTATGGAGGTCTGTGGCATCTTCCAGTTCACTGTTTCAATTTGATCTGCCAGAAGGTATGAATGAGACCTAGAAAAAGGCAAACAGAATGCTGAATTTGGCAATGTCTACACTTCAAGGAAAGTTCATGCCAGAGACAAAACAGTTTTCCTAAAAGCTCAGCGATACACCAGGATTCAGAACATCCAACACATCTCTGACAGCACTAGCAATTTTTTCACATTTTCCCTGTGAATAAAAGGCTCAGGAAACTATTACTTTTGTTTTTCCTCCCCCTGACTGGCTGTTTCCATAACACCATCCCAACGAGGAGCCCTCCAAACCCTTTTAGAACTGGGTCCCTGGATAGAACAGAAGGGTGAGGTCCTGTAAAAGCTCAGCTGAACATTTCCACTGGGCAAGAATTATGCCTAATATGTCTTTTATTTAACCAATTTAGCACAAAAATAAGGCAAAGTGTCTTACCAGAAGCAAAAGATTTCTTGCCAGCAGGCACTGAAAGGACTGAGCAAAGAAAAACCCCAGAGTATGGGGAACAGAGGACAAAACACAGTGTCCCAATGTGTCAGCCCTCCAGCAGCACTGCCAAACAAACCATCGGAGGAAGAGTCTGAAGAAGTGTTACAAACCCATGAAATGACCAACCAAGCACAGATTTTATTTGTAGCAGTTAGCAACTCAACACTTGTACTTGAGTATCCTTCACAAGCACCTGAATCCCATTCTCACAGCTGCCTTAGGCTGGGAGGGCCTGAACAGCATAAGCCACAGGTGGGGACGACTGAGTTAAACAAAGGGGAAAATAAGAACTTGCGGCAGTTCCAGCAAAAAACTGAAAACATTCCATAAATTTGAGCAGATGAGAGACTGAAAGGAAAGCCCAGGATGGATGAGAGGGAAAACACCCAAAAAGGAAACAGTCTTTTTCTCAAATTACCCAGTCTGAAAAGCCACTACTGTATTTCCATTTTTAAATTATTTTATAAGAAGGCTGCAAAAACTTCCCCCTTTCTTCTGTTATCAAACAATGGAACTTGAATGCAACAGCCATTTATGGAATGAAAATAGAGAATTAGTATTTCCTAAGCAAAAAGTGCATTATTTTTCACTTAAGAGGATTTAGCTTCAAAAAAAACAAAGTCAAGCAAACAAACACTACCACAAAAAAAACCCCAAAAACCCCTCAAAAAACCCTAGAGCAAAAGCAGCAAATTATAGTCAGAGACTGAGCACTTGTCCTGCTCTTTTCTAAAGAACTCTGTGCTCTAGAGGGACATTACAGTGTAGTCTTGGATTTTCCTGGAGGAAAGGAAGAACTTTTGCTTGCATTCTTGCACTCCATGGACTCTTCTGCTTCAGAATAATAAAAATGCACCACTGAGAACTTGCTTCTCCAGAGAAACTCAATACACACATAGAATTCTCTTTTCCATGCCACTCCCTAACAATTCGATTGCTGAAGCAGGAGTTTCATGTGAACTTCACAACTCCACCTTTAAATCCTGAATCTGACAAAACTGTGCATTACATATCCATGAGGTCAACACAACAAAACAAAATTGCTTTCCAAAACTGAACGTGCAATTATTTAAACACATTCTCCTGCCAAGCACCTGCCTCCAACCACCTGCCACTCAAAACTCAGGGAAGCACAAGTAAACGTGTACTCACCATAAGGACTACATGCTGCCTCCTCCAACTCTCTATCCCAGTCCTCCACCTCATGCACAGGAGCAGTGTCTGGCTGTGGAGCAGGTACAGCCTCAGGGGTGCTGGAAACATCCTCTTCCCACTCTTCCAGGGCAGACTGAGTGTTGGACCAGGCACCAGGAGAGTCACTGCCGTGACTTTCATTGTCAGAGGTAGCACTTTCTTCAGACTTGCAATTCTTCTGCAAACATTCTAAAGCCAATAGAGAGTCAACAGATACACTCAGGAATTGAGCAGGAACAACTGAGGGCTCAGCACACAGTAATTCAGACAGGCCCACAAATGCACTTTGTGACTACTAATTAATTATAATACATACAGTTTCCTACAGAATACTGCATGTATTCCTTTCAGATGCTTGCAAACAGTGGACATCACCCTGCATCACTGGGCAGGATTTTCCACAGACTTGCTGGAAGTTAACACTTTAAAGGAGGGCAGCAGGCCCAGCAGTGTTGTTTCACCACACCCACCTGAAGGGATTTGAAAGAAACAGGTATGTTGAAAATCCACGGTTCTGGTTTTAAAAAGTCATGTTGATTAATTACTCTTGCATATAGGAACACGCACAAATATCTACATAGAAATAGTGTAGTGGAGAGGCCATTCCCACACATGCCCAACATTTTGCAGTGTATCTCGAAGTTTTGTCAGCTGCCGTTTACTGTTGTGTCCTACCTTTTCTGGGCTTGCAGCTCACAGTTCCTCTCTGACTAGGAAGCTGTTTCTCCTCACGATTTTCAGCCCCAACAGCAGCGTCCATGGCCTGCGGGGCAGGGTCACAGTGCAGCAGCAGCTCCTGCCCCGCGCGGCTCCCCCAGCTCCGCAGCGTTTGCTCCTGCGTGAAGCAGAGCGTTAGAGCCACACAGGGAACCTGCACCCAGAGAACAGCCAGAAAACAAACAGCCAGAAAACAGCCAGAAAACACCAGGTCGCTGCTCAGCCCTGCACCG